TTTTTTTTTAATTCCATTGTTTGGTATCCTAAGAAACAAGTGTTACCACCTTTCGTTTAAACTAATTCGAACTCTTATTGTATGAAACTATTATTACTGACGGCAACCTAATGGATATTTTGAGAATACTTTTAATATATTTATTTAACATGATTGCATATCTCAGCACTCAAACTTAAAACCATAGATAAATTAATTTAACTCCTTCAATTAATTAAACCAAGCACTCCCCAATCATTTTTTTTAACACTTCATTCCATACTAAATTGAGTTCTCAAAAGCCAATTATTTTAACTAACTTAATATGATATGAGTGACGAAAATTCTCATTACTTGAGCAAGTAGTTAATTATTCAAATCTCTACTTTTATGCATATGACAATTTAATTGGGAGGAAAATATCATTTGTCTTCAGTAATGGAAGAGATAATATCTGCTGTTAGTGGGGCTTAATCCTTACACTCAGCATAAAAGCCAGTTAATTTTTGCAAATTTTAGAGCTAGTTGTCAATACTCAAGAGTTCGTAAATATACTATATTTTTTCATTTCTAATCGTTTTTCTATTTTTTTAATTCTTCAACTCTAATAAATTATTTTTTTTAAATAATATCTAAGATTTGGTTTAAGGGCTGACCCTAGTAAAGTAGCAAGTTTCATGACTCGATAGGACCAGCCACAAAAAGATCATGAAAAAATAAAGGCTATTATCCTAATGCAATCATACTCATCTTTTAATATTCAAAGGTTAACTCTAGAGATTTAACATATTTTTAATTTTTAACTGTATTAATTTACATGCAATTTTTTATTTTCCATGAAATCTTATTCAAGACATTATCTATTTGGCATTAAACATAGGCATCTATCCCAATGAGTATTTAAACCTTAATTTACATCATTATAAGAGACTAGTTATTTTTGTTAAACCCAATTGTTAGTTAATAAGGTTCGATTCTTAGATGTGTGTGTGTATATATATATATATAAAACATTACTTAGGAGAGAATAGTCTGTTAAATGACGCTCAGGTTCCATGTTTATATATATATATATATATAATTAATAAAGCTAACCATTAACAAATGTTAGTTATGCCTTGCCAAGGTCATCATCACCCATGATAGCTTGGCTTGCAATTTGCCTTTATGTTACAATTATTTAGGGCTTATTGGCATTATACCTATTCAGAAAAACGTGTTTTGCAATCTTTTTATTATTTTATTCGGCAAGTTAACAATCCAATAAAATCAAACCATCCCCACCAGAGTATTACAAGTTAAAGACGGCCTGTAAAAATGCTAATGTTGTTCAAGGTTCAAGAGAAATGGCCCAAAAAAATACTGTTCAAGAGATTTTCAGTACCCCTCTACTCTTTTCAAAGGATCACAAGTGTCATTTGATATTAAAAGTTTTTTTTTTGCCTTACATAAATATTATTTTATAAGAGGAAATTCTGTTTAAGATGCAATGATCAATATTAAATAAGTACATATTTTCTAGGGTGGATTTAATTTTTTTTACACATTTATCTTTATATTGAGAACATAATTCAATTCAAGACACAGGTGTAGAAAGAAAAGATACAATAGCAATTAATTGAATTGCCGTTAATGGTAAAATATTAATATAGTTTCAAATAAGCTCACAATGTACATATGCAAAACAAGATGCAATATTGAAAAAACTAAATCAAATTAAGTAGTTAGTAAATAATTAAGAATATAAATTCTGAATAAAAATGAAAAAATTACAAGTCATTATTGTTTTGTTATTATATGAGGGACAATTTTTATTTGTTTACCATTCGTTGCCATTCCTTCCTTATATAGATGGAACGATTTTCTTGGCTTTCGCTGAAAAAAAAGGTGTTAACAAGAATGTCAATGATATAAAATGTAGATAGATTGTTATTAATTTAAAATAAGTTATTATTAAAACTCAAATGAATACTTATTAATAAAAGATTAATTCAAATCAATAAATATCTATTCAAATTTTGAAAATAATTAATTATTAATTGATATAAATTTTATATAGAAAACATTAATTATCATTTTCTCAATTTAATAAAAAACTATGATTAACTCAACAGGATACTTAATCATGATGCTTCTCTTACGTCAAAATCTAACTTTGGTGATCCCTTACTTAATTTGGGAGATCCTATTTATTTTTTTTAAAAAAATTAACTATAACTTAGTTAAAATAGATAATAATCTATTTAATAATATATATTACTATTATGTCCACGCTATCATTCCTTTTTTTATTATTTGAATAGATAAAAGATATCTTCTATTTATTTATTTTTTTCTCATTTCACTTCATCATAGGAGTATGTATCGAACAAAGCCTAACTCACATTAAAAGGTAAATCGCTCTCTTTAAAAGTTATTAATAATGAAACTTATGTTCTACATATATGAAGTATTTTACTATTTTTCTCAAAGGGAAAAGGTAAACTGTAGCTTTACATTTTATTTTATTTTTTAAGAAAATCTGCACATTTTTTTTTTGACATCATTTTACCCAGCTGGTTAGCATGAATTCGAACACAATCATCTCTGGTTCTCTTCCTCTTCGGTCCTCACAGGCCATAATAAAATTAACTCAATCACAGAACTCAACGGCACCACTTCTGTCTCCTTCAAAAATCTCACGAGCAATCCAGTTTGATCTCTGGAACATACGCAAAAAATGCTAGATCCAGCTAGTGAATTGTTGCCGGCACCGTCTTCGCCCACCATCTCCTCCGTTTCCTCCTCCGATCTCGACACTGAGGTGTCTCAATCTCACTTTCCTGATTTCACCATTTTTTCCTTGAATTAATTATTTGATCTTATTTTCGGTGTTGTTTACAGTCCACGGGGTCGTTCTTTCACGATAGGAGCACTACTTTGGGTACTTTGATGGGAGTGAGCTTTCCAGCCATTACTTTCAGAGCCACATCTCAGCATCGAGACCCTCATTCCGCCACCGCTGGAGCCGTCCCCTCGTTAGGAGGCTCGAGGAGAGGCGTCAAGCCTAATAAGAAAAATAGGAGAGCAAAGGCGGTGGACGCGGCGGCGGTCGTGGCAGAAAGGCGAAGGAGATGGTGGAGCCTGTGCAGGGACGGCGACGCGAGGCCGGCAGCTTCGCTCGGTGACTTCCTTGAGGTGGAACGGAGGTTCGGCGACGGCGCGTTTTACGGCACAGCCGCTGAGCTCGAAGGAATGGTCATGGGTCAGCAGAGGAATGGTGGACGAATGTTATTCGCGAACGGTAGAGTTCTCCCGCCGGCCACCGACGTCGACGACGGAGCTTCAACGGCGGGGAGTCTGTGCAATAGATTTCCGGTTTCACTCACCGGGATCTGTAGCGGCGGTGCATAATAGATAGGATATATTTCTGAATTTTGAATTTTCAACAATAAAAAACCAAAAGAAAAGGAAAAAGAAAAAGAAAATTGGGACTGTCTTGACTCTTGAGTCTTGAGGGTTGTTTGGTTGATGATTAGTTAGTAATCTGATTATTTTCAGTGTTCATCTTGTGGCTTTGGTTTACAAGCAAAAGGCAAGGTGATGCCTTTTAGGCTTTTTCACTTTCTTCCTTTTCCTTTTATGATGCGGAGTGGTCCATATAATCAATCTACAAAATGGGTGATTGACGGTAATCATGTTTCACTTTTGGCAAAATTCAAATTAATTAATTATGAAAAATGGTTTTAGGTATTATTGCTTGATTGATGCATCAATCAACCCCACCTCCAGGAAAATAAAATTCTGTCCTCTGCTAAGGTGCAAATTTGTGTCTCCCACTGTATCACTTCAAACAAAAGAGTGATCGATTTTCCAGGGAAAAAGGCATCCTTTCTTTCTTACTCAGAAGAACTGTAATTTCAATTTCAAATTTTAGTAATAGACAGAACAGTTGCTATCAAAGTAGGTCATAGAGTTCCTTAATTATATATGTTACTTCATAGTTTTGTGGTTTTCATTGTTTAACTTGAAGGTGTACGTTTCTTTTTGTCGTTTCTTTTTTTTTGAACATTCGAAAACAAGTTCGTGTGGCTTCCTTCATGTGTCCTCATCCTTTTCTTTTGTGTTTTGTTTGATTCTATTAAAAGAAACAACAAGGAGGGAGACAACTTCGGAGTTTTACATTCGTTGTTTTTAAAACCTTTTTTTGTTGAGAAATTGGCTCGGAAATTGAATATAATCCTGAAATTATGTTCGTCTTAAGAAAGCCAGCATAAATTAAGTACAGTAGAGCTGACCTGAAGATTTAAATAATTTATAATCAATTTACCCATCATATATATTTCGAGCAGACCCTACAAGACTCCAACTTGCAATTCTTAAATTAACTCGAAAATAACCCCCCCAAAAAAAAAAAAAAAACTTGATATCTTCCTATTCCTATTCATCATTTTATATTTTACATCATTTGCTTACAAAATAATAATAATAGTAATAATAATAATAATAATAATAATAATAATAATAATAATAATAATAATAATAAAGGATCTTTCTCCAATCGTTCTGCTGGAGAACTCAGACTTCAGGCTGCCCTGTTTCTGCTCTGTTTAAAACACTGCAAATAGTTGAGTTGGTGAATGGTGAGTTACTGAGTTCCTTGCACACATACTCTTTAAATGCTAAAAAGTAAAAACCCTGCCATTATTGCATCAGTGGAGAACTGGAGATTCATACTTCGTAAGACTTCTCTCTTCTAATACATTCTCTTTATGTTAATAAATATAATCGTTCCAAACTAGCATTCCTTAATGTCAAAGGATCCAAAAATGCTTAAGATCTGATAAACTGCTTTTTAGATTTTCGCTGGTTTAAAAGCATCTGATAAATTGGAACTCTAAATTGATTCCAAGCGACTTTAAAACCCTCATGTGAAGCTTCTTGCATCACATGTGTTCTCAGTTTGATAGCTTAAACTTTTAACTCAAAGAAATATTTGACAAAGCATTTTTCTTTCTTCGTTTTCTTTTTCGGTTTAGATAAAATAAGAATGGTAATGTCTATAGCAAAGAAAATACAACAGATGTTCAGATCCAGTGGGATTTCCCAGAAATTAGCAGATCCAATCTTGCTACTTTCCCGAGCAAAAACTCTAAATCTACGGAAGTTTCAGAGCAGGATTTGCAAGAGTAGTATTGTATGTATACAACAGATCTAATGTAAACTCAATATATATCAAGAATATCTACTAACAAGTACAAGTAATACACAAAAGAAAAAAAGAAAGGTTTTTGTCCATGAAAACTGCCTCAGGGAATTTCATCAATGGTCTCCAATGCAGGTCTCCAAGATCCCTGCTTTGAAAAGCATCTTTTCTCAATCTTCTCTCCCTCACAACCCACCGTATCATCATCATGACCTTCAAGTCTCTTTGCTTCAGAAGGAAACATACAGACAGGAAAGATCTTCCCCAGATTATTAAATCCTCCATGCTTGACAGCCCTAGAAGCTTTATAATTCATGGAGCTAATCTCTTCATGTGTCAGCACAGAGTAGAGCAGCTCCATGGGAAGAAGAAAGTAGAACTTTTTCCTCTCAAGCTCTTCATCAGCCAGAAGCCCTTGAATCCTATGACCTACTTTGAGGAAGCCAGAGTCACACACAAACTGACCGGGATTCTCAAGCATTAGTTCTGCAGCTTTCACTGCCCTTGTGTAGGACTCTAGCCTTCCATCTAAAGACAAGACCTTGATTCCCCCATTTGATATCATCAAGGAAGGTGTGCAAGAAGCTGCATTGCCCATATTTCTGACTTCTGAGAAAGAGACAAAGTGGGTTTGTGGAATTGTTCTTGTCTGGAAATGGTGGAGGGAAAGGAAAGGACTGAAGGAAGGTGGTGATAGTGGTGGTGATGAAGCTTCTGTGAATGTGAGGTACTATATATTCAGGCAAAGCAACCTGTCAGTTGAGAAAATAAAGAAAATTGTTGTTTGTCTTTTTTCTGGCTGAAGGTCCATGGATAGTTGGGTAATCTGTTGGCACATCTTATTTTGTGTCTTTTTATTTTTATATTAAAATTAATAATGGTTGTCGTACTCTTAGTGACATGTTTCGAGACCACAATTTTCCTTCTGGCAGTGGCTTTGTTTTATTTACTTTTATGCAGCTAGACAGTTTTTTTAGAAAAGTCCTCAAGTTGGGTACAGTAAACAATCGATTAATGTGCCAAAAAAAAAAAAGAAACAAAATGGATTGATAGATTATAAGTTTACAACATCTAGAAGCCCCAGTTCAATGAACTGCTGCTACTTTATTTGATAATCAGCTGATTTTTCAGTCATGTAAGATTCATGAAACCAAGTATTTCAAATAATGGGATTGAATGTTACAAAAAAAAAAGGGGGGGGTTGATTGACATATTATTTATGGATTCTTTTTTTGCAGAGACTTTAAGTGTAAAAAGTGGGAAACTTCTTTCTAACAGGAAAAAAAAAAAATAGCCATGTGTCCTTGGCAACCATTTAAGCATACAACTTGTGTCCTTTTATGCCAATTTGAAGATCATATTCTATTTCCTGTATTAGGACAGAAAAAAGAGCCAGCCTGTCAAATTTGGCCTATTCTAGAACTTTGTGAGATAAAATACCTAGAAATGGGGCCTTTGAATGCAATTTTCCCCTTGCCAAAAAAATAATTGGAATTGAATTTCCAAATTAGTTAAATTGTGTGAGAAAGAGTAAGCAAGTTTTTTATTGTAATAGCAGTGGTGCACATGGAGAGGGGTGGAGGAAGAGGACATGAAACGCCACAAAAGGACAGCACCAAACCCATGATTAGATATGGTAGGAAGCAAATTGCTTGATTTTATTCTATTTGCAAATGAAGGAGAGGCCCTTCACTCTTCATCTAATGGCTTGGAATACTTAGTATTGTGAATAATAAACAAACAAACAAACAAACATATTTGTGTTGTTGGGAGACGTGAAAGGGCCATCATCTTCTTTCTTCTTCTTCTTCAACATCATCTAATGGCAAATGTCAAATCTTTTTGATTTGGTATCTGGTCGCTATCTATCACTACCCAATGCTAGCTTGCTCTCATATATTCCCCATCCCATGAATTAGTTTTTAATGCAGTTCATGAACTAAGCTTCACTTGCATGTGCTTCTGCTCCCATCTGGCCCCCTTTCATTATTTATCCTCTTAGCGGCTGATTTTATCTCTTGCTTCTGCTTCATCTGTCAGATCCATTTTGGCTCAAGATTTCACCCAAATCATTCCGTCCTTTTTGCCTCTTGTAACTCAGCTTAGAACTTTTTTCCCCCCTCTCACTCAGGCCTCGTTTAGTATGATAGAAGAGTATTTGATAGAATCGAAATCGAAATTGAAATTAGAATCAGAATCGGAATAAGAATTGAATTGAGTTTTAAAAGTGTGTTTGGTATGAAGATGGAATCATGATATAATTTTAATAAGTATATGTATTTAAAATATAAAAAATCAAAATACCCTTTATTTTATTTTTTTAATGAAATACTTAACAATAAAAAAATAAAGAATGTACTTTTAAAGCTCAAAATACCTTTTATTTTATTTTTTTAATGACACATAAGCCAATTTCATGTTGAGTTGGTGGATTTCATGGTCTCTACAATGGAATTGGATTCCATCAATTTTGATGGAATCAGATTCCTTCAAGAAAGCAATTCTGATATGCCAAACAAGCCAACTGAAGAATTCCATGTCCAATTTCATTTCCCTTTTCACAATTTTGATATACCAAACATGGCCTCAGTTTTTTTGAGAAAAAAATTTAAACAAATTGAATCTCAAACTCACTAAAAATTAAGACATGTTTTTAAACTTAAAAACACTTACAAATACATTTATAAATCATCCATCAATGAATATGTTCACATCGACAATAGAATTTATACTTACAATTTTATAAATTATAGGTCAAATATTCATCATCAATTAGATCAACATTTGTTATTACAGTCGAGAATGAAGGGTGGACTTGACGAATCTCTCATTTAAACTCATTTTTATAAGGGTTCAGATTTGAAATTTTTTTTATTTTTAATATAACTAAACTTTTAAGCAAGCCCTAACAAACCCTGAAAAAGGAGCTCAAGCCATTAGTTTAGGTCTTTTTTATTTTTTCTCAAAAAATAAAATATTTTTAAATTAAATTTAGGCTTTAAAAATATTTATTTATAATTTAAAATTAAAATTTATATTACTTATTTATAATTTTTAAACATTATAATTTATATTTTAAAAAAAGAATATATAATATTACATTGTAAAAATTAATTTTTTAAAAATAAAAAAATAAAAAATGGGTTTACAGGCTTAACCCTAAACTCAATCAATAAGGACAAACTTAAAGAAATGCCTGATTTTATGGTAATTGGGTTTTCAGGCTTGAATCCATATGAGTTGAGCTCACTTATTCACCGGCTCTATTTGTTTGTGCCTTTCTCTCTCTCTCTCTCTCTCTCTCTCTCTCTCTCTCTCTCTCTCTCTCTCTCTCTCTCTCTCTCTCTCTCTCTCTCTCTCTCTCTCTCTCTGCCTTCTTGATCATCTAGTATCCTGATCCTGCCATATTTCAATTGAAGGATTTATTAGGATATTGATTCCAATCTAGTTAGGTTACAACAAAAGGGCGGCAAAACTCATCTACTATGGCTCAAAAGGGAATATCTATTTAAGCACAACCTTATTCTCAGTATTCTATGCAACTAGTGATGGGAATGAGACTCTCCAACTGTTTATCAAGTGATGGTATGTGTTTGAGTCAGCATTTGTAAAACTAAAGTTTGGGCAAATGCTAATTAATGCTGCTCGTGATCCAATGTCAGCTAGAGTCCTAAACGCTTTAGAATGTGTTTGGATTAGCTTTCGCCCAAACTTCAGTGAAAAAAGATAATTTAAACATAGAGAATATTATCCCAACCAACTTTCAATCCTAAAACATCTGTTTGGATCAACACAACAATGATTCAAATACTCTTATATAGCGTTTGAACTAATATATTTAAATTTGTATTTTAGATTTGAAATATTGTATTTTGAATCTCACATTTAAAACTTATATATTATAAATTATTTATTTAGGTAGTTTAAAAAATTTCAAACGAAGAAGAGATATGAACTGAAATTCAAAACAAAAATTAAAAATTAAAAATAATGAGTTTATTTTTATTTTTTAATTTACATGAGATGTGAAAAGATATAAAGTTATAGAGATATCAGTAATGAAAATATGAAGAGAACATGATATTTGAAATGATTAAAATTTCACATGATTATATGTAAAGAAAATTTAAAATTATAAAGAAATTATAATTTAAAATAAAAATCCAAATTTATAGTAATTTTTTTGTATTCAAACGGAGATCTGGTTGAGATTTGAATCTAAATTCAAATTCTCATTAATTCAAATATACCATTAATTTTTTTTTCAAATAAAATAATATCAAGTAGTAAAAGGAGGGGTACTCGCAAGGGCAAGACCACAAGCTTTTAATTTTTTTTTTTGGATGATAATAATTTTGATCCTTAAAAATAAATATTATTTTAAACGTTGTTTAGCTTAAAATTTTAAAATCTGAGTCTATAAAAGTTATTTTCTCTATTTTAAACATAACAGAAAAATAAATTTGGGAACTAAATTAGAAGTAAAATTAAATCTTGCAACAATCAAATCAATGTATGGTAAAATGTTATAACTTAAACGGTAATGTGGCGGATGAAACATACTGACACCGTTTGGTGTGTGTGAGAATAAGAAGAGTGATCCTTCGAAAAAAACCAAAAAAGGAAAAAGCTTGGTTGCTTAAGGAACAGCTGGAGAATCTTAAGCTTCAAGGAGGACAACTAAATAATGATTAGGATTTCTGGCAAATTAATGATTAATTAGTTGTCAAAGTAGATTTGGTAGGTCTTGTTTGCTCATGTCTTGTCAAGCATTGGAAAGGAATGATGAATCAATGCTAGCCTGGCATACGTTTAGTTGTTACTTACTTTCGTAGTAATTAGCATCAATTGTATTAAAAAAATACTTAGCATTCACAAAACCCACTTGGTAGTTGGCACTTCCCGTTCTGATTCAAAAGCTGCAACATTTTTTGGATTATACGGCTTTGATAGCTACATATTGCAACATTTTGGCACATTAATGGGCCTTTTGGACACAATAATTCTGTTATTGTCTCACAAATCATCCATATTAAAAATATTAAATTCATAAAATATAAAAAATATTAAATGCATAAAAAAATTTCAGAAATCATTAATAATATAACTTAGGATAGTAAAATTTCTAGTACACTAAATTTACCTTAATTATCAATTTGATTTTTTAAATTTAATTTTTATTAATATAATCAATTTTTTTAAATTATCATGTTAATTTCTTAAGTTTAAAAATATAAATTGACTTTTAAATTAATATAATGTGTAAAATATGTTGATAACTTAACATGTATGTATAGCAAAATAAAAATAAATTAACCTTTAAATCAATTTTTTTATTAGTCTAGTAAGTATCTCACACAACATTTTGTTTTTTAAATTTTTATTTAATTTTTTATTCAAATAGTTGCACTTTTTTTTATTAATATGCATGGCTATCATTAACTTTCTATTATCAATTTTAACATTATGGCATTCTCTTTGAACAATGAACACTAAATTAATAACAGAGATAAATTTAAGAAATTAAATTAATAAAAGTTAAACTTGAGACGTTGAATTGTAACTGAGATAAATTTAAAACATTAAAAATATTGCTATAATTTATTTTAAATTTTATATTAACACGAGCTAGACCTTTTAATAATTAGACTGTGGGTTGATGTTTCTATTTATAATATAAGAATAATGTGTTTTTATAGAAATCTTATATTATATATGAATATATAGGTTTAATGTTCATA